AAGGAGTCTGGGAGTCTGCATGTCAATAAGCGTCTGGGAGACACGGCTCGCGGTGCCCAGAGAAGGCGCGCCGCGCAGGCACGCGCCGCCGCAGGACGGCCTTTCAGAGGCGGGCGCGGTGCAGCGTGCGGGTCTCCGTGGAGACGAGGGGCGGGGCTGGCCCGCGACGGCCGGGACGTCGGGGGCGGGGCGCGCGCCCAACGCCTAACGGCTGGGCCGAACCCAGTGGCCCGGGGCCGTCTCGCCGCTGCCATTCCAGCCCGCTCCCGCTCCGGGGCCGGGCCTGGCCCGGCGGCTCGGACCTCTGGGGGCGGGTGGGGCGGGTGGGGCGAGGGAGGGAAGGGCGCCTGCAGGCGGCGGCGAGACCGAAGCGCAGGGTCCCGCGCCGCCTCTTCGGCAAAGGCCGTCGAGGGCCTCAGGCCCCCGTGAAACGGAGGGGCGGAGGGGGGACTATTGCACCCCCGCTCTGGAGAGGCACCGACTGAGGCAATAGCTAGGCACCCACCACTGCTAACCCCCCTAGAGGAGAGAAGGGCACGTCCGCTCGGGGGCCAGCACCAACACCTTGCCGGTGTGTCGCCGGAACCCTTTATCTTATGTCCCCCAAAGGTCTCCCCGTTGACCCTGACCTCGGCCGTCGCTTACCCGAACTACGCCACATCCTCCCGGTTCGTTTTCAACCCTGGCGTTGAAACCCTCCCGTTCCCTGGACACAAAGTTGCCCCAGGTGGGCCCGTTCTGCCTCCGGCTGGGGTGAACGGCCACCTCGCGGCAATCCTGACCTGAGATGGGGGGCTCCGGGAAAGATGCTGTCTTGGCCTTCACCCCCGCCCCCCCCAGGCCCTCCAGACACCTGGTGTAATACTTGGGACAGAAAAGACCAGGACAAATCTCTGTACCCCGGAGGGGCCCTTTTTTTTCTTCTTCATTTATTCAAACAAATATTTATTGAGCATCTATTGTGTGCCACGTACAGAGGATTCCGTGATACACAAGGCAGATAAGCTGACTTTAGGGTGGGGCAGAGAAATGAGGATTAGAAACGCACAAACTCCCCAATAGTGAGGCGTGCTATGACGAAAAACGTGGGAAAGTGTGGAGGATGGGGGGGAGTGGGTAACCCTACTTCAGATGGGGTGTTTAAGGAGGGTTTCCCGGAGAAGGTGACATTAACTTGAGTCACAAAAAGAGGCAATTGCCGTGGAAGTCTTCAAATTGAAGAGGGGAAACAGCACAAAGGCACTGCGGTGGCCTGCGGCTTGGATGTCCAAGGCATGGACAGAAAAGCCAGCAATGAAGGGGAGCCAGGGTAGAAACAGGAGACCAGCAGGGGACAGGACCACATCTGGCCTTCCAGGCTGTGGGGAGACGTTTGGATTTTACTCCGAGTGTGATGGGAAGCTGTCCACGTGTTTCGGCAGGGGTGGGCAAGATCCCACGGGGGCTTTGGGGAAAACTTGGCCTCTGTGAAGATCTGGCAACAGGGAGACCCACTTTGAGGCTTTCTCAATGTCTTGGGGCAGGGGGTGTAAGGCAGGCAGGTCCAGAATACAGTTTAGCGTCAGAGAGAGCTCAGTCCCTCTTCGTATTCTTCTCGAGGTCAAACACCCCCTTCAGCTGTTTCCAGTGAGGCATGGTTCTGGGGCCTGGGGCCGAGATGAACAGCTTTATGGTTGTCTTTCACACCCAGACAAGGGTGGCGCACAGCCTGATGCCCGCCCTCATCCTGTGGCCCTGCTCCCCGTCCCCACGCCCAGCCAACTGGACAGATGGGGCAAGGGCACTGGACTGGTAATTCGACTTGGAGTAGAATCCGCATGCCCCAAGTGAGTCCTGCCTCTTCTCTGGACCTCAGCTTCGTCATGTAAAATGGGGGGGGGGGGGGGCGACAGGGCAGATAGGACAAGATGTGGGCTTAAGAATCCTCCCATTCAATCCCTTGGTCTCAAAAGCATTATTCAAAGCCCACCTCTTTCAAGAAAGATTACCTGAGGGGGGGGGGAGAAAAGGAAGGGAGCATATTTTTTGAGAGCTACTGATGTCAGGCTCCAGATTACACGTTGGTTTGGTTGGGTATTTTTCCCCCATCTTTAAATATATTTCTGAACCTGACTTAGGGCCAAGAGTTAGATTCCTTAGATTCGTTTCTAGATTCTCATCATTCGATGCTACACAAGACAGCCAAGGTCTTGGAGGCAGGCGGACAGATAGGAAGCAAGTAAAAGCTCACGCAGCTGGAGAAACCTTATGAGGAAAGGAATCAGGATGACAGGATGGAGGGAGCCAGTGCGGATGGGGGTGGCAGTCGGGGGGGGGGGTTGGGGGGCGGGGGGGGCAGGCTAGCAGGACGCCTGGCGCCACAGCCGGCATGTCTGCAGGGGTGTGCCCGCCAGGAGAAGGAGCCCGCAGGGAGGGAGGGAGCACCGGCGGATAAAGTCGAAGAGGTCAGCGGGGCCTGGCGGAGTCGGGGCGGGGGGTGGGGCGCTGGAGGGTCCCAGCAGGACAGCCACAAGCTCTGGTTTGCCTTTTAAAAGCTCCTCTGGCTGCCTCGTAAGTGGAGGAAGGATTGGATTGAATTTGGCCGAGGAGGGGGGCCATGGCAGGGCCAGGTGTACGTATGGTGGCCGTCCAAGCGGGACGCCTGTGCCGCCAGCTACCCGGTGCAGCCGTAATGTCCCCACCCTTCAGGCCCCCCTCAGATAATGGCAATTAGGGAGCAGTCTGGTGTGAGGCCGCGCCTCATCACAGGAAGAAAGGGGCAGTTAACACGTTCTTGACTAGTAGAAAAGTTCAAGGTCCCCAAATGGGACAAGCAACGATGAAATAAAATTCTGTGAGCCTTGGAATTCTGTGAGCCTTGCAAAGGTCACAGTAGGCTTTCCACTAGGGTTTTCAAAGGTGTCACAACTCTGTGGGGTCCCTGCCTGCTCTGCCAGGCAGCCCAGTGGGCTCAGTGCACAGATACTTCGAGTTGTGACCTATGTAAGGTCAGTGCTGGGACAGGAAGCCAGACCAGGTTTGAATCCCATCTCATTCATTCAACAAATATTTACTGAGGGCCTACTATGTGCCAGGCCCTATGCAGCAGTTAGGGCTCCTGCTCTAGTGGGAACAGGCAGGAGACAGGATAATCTCAGAAAGTGATAAGTGCTATAAAAACAAAGTACATCAAGTGTCTGGGGGGAGGGGAGGGGAGGCTATTTGCAATGGGGTAAACAGCAAATGCCTTGCCATCTTTTTCTGGCTGGATGTCATTGGGGCATTGCCCAACCTTTCTGAAGCCTCAGTTTCCTCATCTGCACAGTGGAGGGACATGCACCCGCCACCCCCCGGAAACAGTCGATATTCCGGGAAAGCGTGGTGCCCAGGCTCCCAGCTGCTGAGCACAGGGCTGCAGTCTCCTCTTCCCCGCCCCCCGCCCCGCCCCACCTCTTTAGGGTCAGTTCTTCCCCAGGAAGAAAGTGTCCACTAACTGAGGTTGTTTGTGACAAAGGGAGATAAAGCCAAGATTCCCTTGCCTGCACCTCAGCCAACAGGGATTGCGCTGCAGGGGTGGCCAAAGCAGGCCACTGGGGCTGGTGGTCCAGGGAGACACAGGCAGGTGGTTTCTGCCTGTCGGCTTTTGTCCTCATCTTCTGGATCCCCCTCCAGAATGGTTTCTCGATCCTGTCCTAGCTCCTTGGGCCTGAAACCGAAGTTCTGGGGAAGAGATGTCCCCCCAGCTCCCTCCCCCCCAACTCCACACTCCCGTCTAAGGAAACCAAGCCCTGCAGGGGCAGAGGCGAGGCCGCGGGTCCCGGAGCCTGAGCCAGGGCACAGCTCCCTCTCGGAGCCTGTAAACTGACCCTTGGGTGGGGGGAAGAAGCGGGGCGGGGGGAGACCGGGAATGTACCCAGAAGACCCCTGCCCCCAAGGAAAGGGCATCCCCAGAAGGCTTTGGGCTGGGAGCTACCCTCTCCTCACTGGGCCTTTCCTCCCTAACGTTAACAAACCAGCTCCTCTCAGCTGCTCTCCTTGGTCCCCACCCAAGGGTGAGTCTGGGAGGGGACAGTTACTCAAAGGCGGAGCCTGGAGAAGCCATTTTCTAGTTTCCACTGCTCACTTCCTCCTTCAAATCCTCACCCCTGGTCCAGGCTCTCTGAGCAGCCCACATGCAGGCCCTGTGACGCACACATGGGCGGGAGGGCTGGACAGAGACCCCGGTTCCAAGCCTCAGGATCCCCAGGGCTGGGGATGCTGCTTGGGGGCAGGGGGAGGTGCAGTCAAGTGTAGGGTGAGCCCAGAGCAGCCAGGCGGGCGGCTGAGGCCACGGACAGGAATGAAGAATGGGACATGAACTTAGAAAAGCAGGCAGGAGGCAGACCGCCAGTCTCTGCCACAGCCCAGAAGAGAGGGCAGTGGGGGTGGCGGGGTGGGGGGGGACAGAGGCCCTGAGGAGTGATGGCAGCACCTGAGGTGGGGGCCTAAGGGAGGGCACGTGCACACCAGCTGGAGGTTACAAAACCTGAAAAGAAGAAAAACGAATCCTGAGGGCCCAGTGCTCTCCCTGTGGGGTGGCACTGGTGCGTGGAAAAAGGCCCCAGGTGGGGACACAGCACGGCAGTAGGAAATGGTGGGGGGACATGCTCTTGAGGGCAACCTGGTCTCAGGTCACCAAGAGTTAGCAAATCTCTTGGACAGAGGAACCCCATTTACAGGACGAATCCTCTAGATCTTTCCAGGATAGCAAGGAAGGCTAGTCCCGGCTTGCGCCGCACGTCCACCCACAGGGCTGGTGGAAAACACCCGGGCCCTGTTCCGAAGGCCAAGTTACACCTGGATGTGTCCGTGGAAACGTCCTGTTCAACACATAGGGAAGCACAACTGCGTATGCGACGGGGAGCGGCGACACGAGGGCCCCCGTTCAGCCGCGGGCGCCTGCCAAGAGCGGGGCCGAGGACAGGCGGTGGGGGCGAGGGGCGGGGACTTGGTTTTCCCTCCGCATCCTAACTTCTACACCGTTGGGTTTTATACCACGAACTTTATTGAGAAAAAACTAACAGCTTTTAAAGAACTGGGGGGAGGGGCAAGGCGGCCTGGGGAAGGGCAGCGAGATTGCTGGCAGCGCCGGGGCAGGCTGGGCCCCCACCCCCCTTTCCTCCTGTGCCCGCTGCTGGGTCCCGCAGCCTTCCTGCTTTTGGAGGACGGACGGAGGGGGCGGCTGGCTCCTGGAGACAGGTTCAAATCTCCCATCACCCTCAAGGCCTTATCTCTAGTGGTTGGGGATTCTTACTCGACACCCATGGTCCGCAGGTGACTGGGGTGAAGGCTCCCCTAAAGGCCAAATGCAGACGTGTGCACACGGTCCTGCCATCCCTTCTCCCTTAATGCCATTCCGAATGAAAACGGCACGAAGCTGTGTGAAGTTCCACGAAGGTCTGGTTTCTTCCACGAGAACTACTTACCTCCATTCTTAAAACAATGCGTACTGCATTAGAACCCTTCGCGGGGCTCACGCTTTGCCGGTGCCCTAAGCATGGGCCACCTGCACTTCAGAGCCTGCTCCCTGGCCTATCCCATTCCACCCGGCTCTTCCTTTACGCCCCACTCGGGCCTGGGGGGCCAGCAGGCTCCCTGCAAGCGGGGCCTCCGGGAACTCCAAGCTCTCTCAGTCCCCACGTTTCGCACCCTTTCAGCCTCAGCAGCGACTTGTCCACTCCTTTGATCTCTGGCCACTCTGCCCGGGTTCGTCTGACCCACGGACCCCTCGGAGCCCACTGCCCGGCCACAAGGGGCTAGGGGCCAGGGCCCCGAACAACGTCCCCATTCAGGGTTTCACAATACACATTTGCATCTTAAAGGCAACCTTCCCCACCGTCTCGCCTGGTGAATTTCCCTTTGTCTCCACTTAAATGCTGAAAAGTACTTAATGCCTCTCTATTTACATTTAAAATCCCAAACTGGGCCCAGCCACCCTCCCGACCAGCCCAGGCCTAGGCTGGAGCCAACCTCTCAGTTAAAAACCCTTTTTGGGGAGACCGATTCTTTGGCCTTCAACTGTTAACTCTCTGCAGCCGGCTCAAGCCAATGAGGCCTTTCCGGGTGAAGGGCCCTCAGGGGGCAGGGTCTCTGAACCCCATCCCTGAGGCTGGTGACTCCCACGCAGGTCTTCTGAAACCCTCCCAGGGGAGGGTGCCTCCATCCGAGCTCTAGTGTGTGTACCCCTTTTACAGATGACACTGAGGCTGACAGAAGCACAGGAGGGAACCTGCCCAGAGCCCGGGGTTTTGCATCCTAGACCCAGACTTGCCATCAGGCCCAGCAGACTCCTCTGCTGACACCAAGATCTCTGTTTTATGTCCCATCCTCCAGGCAGGCTGTGTTCTTCCGGGTCCTCCCTTCTCTTGAGGCCATCTCGGTTCGGCTGTCCAGACTCAGACTGCCAAAGCTGGAGGAGGGTCGTTCAAACTGCACACATCCAAGCCTTTTTCACAAACTGGGGAACTGAGGCAGAGCAGTGGGGGGTGGGGGGCGGTGGGTGGCACAAGAGGTCTGGGGGAGTGCCCAGGGTCCAGGTCAAACCAGGAGCTCATGGCTCCGGTCCGTCTCCCCGTTGGCTGCAGTACAGACAGCAATGAACGGGGGTACCCAGCAGGCAGGGTGTGGCCAGGGCTAGGATCTGGCAGGGAGCAAGGCAGGCCCCACTCTGTTCTTACAGTTTTACACAAGCAAACAAGAATAGGGTCAGATGATGATGGTAAGCACATGATCAGAGGATGATAAAGCAGGATGATGTGATACAGGTACTTCAGCCAGGCTGGCGCGGAGGCTGCCCTGAAGAGGTAGGTATCCATGGATTGCAATCGAAATAAAGGCAGTCAGCAGCACAGCAAGTGCAAAGGCCCTGAGGTGGGAGTCCCCTGGGTCTGTGTGAGGAACACAAAGGCCAGTGTAGGCGCCTGGGTGGCTCAGTGGGTTAAGCATCCGACTTCAGCTCCGGTCATGATCTCACAGTTCGTGAGTTCGAGCCCCGCGTCAGGCTTTGTGCTGACAGCTCAGAGACTGGAGCCTGCTTCAGATTCTGTGTCTCTCTCTCTCTCTCTCTCTCTCTCTCTCTCTCTCTCTGCCCCTCCCTGGCTCACACTCTCTCTCTCAAAAGAAGAAACATTAAAAAAAAAAAAAAAAAAAGGGCCAGTGTGGCTGAGTGCAGACTCCTCTTAAGTCTGATGAAAAGCCACTGGAGGCCTTCTCAACAGAGGTGGGAAGCAGGGGATCAGACTTCACATCAGCTGCTCTGCCTGCTGCTGAATGGAGAGGACTGGAGAGCGTGGGGTGGGCTTGGGGAGGAACCTGTTTGGGGGTAGCTGTAATAGGAAACTATGGGGTGAATGAGAGGGTAGAGGGAAAAAAAAAAAAAAACAGGGCGAGTCTATGCTTTGGGGCTAGGACTGCCTGGGAACCTTGGGGAGAGGAGCAGGTTTGCAAGAGAAAAAAACCGAGTTCTGTTTTAGCCAGGACGCAGAAGAGATGTGTCTGGACATCCCAGTGGAGTCCGCGGCAGGCGGCTGGATGCCAGAGTCCTTTGGTCAGGAGAGAGACAGAAATGAGGGCTGACAGAAACGGGGGTCAGCAGGGTATGGATGGTGTTTGGAGCTCCAGGATTGGATGAGCTCAACTAGAGAGAGAGAGAGAGAGAGAGAGAGAGAGAGGCCCTGGCCACTTCCATATGTTTCTTTTTCCAAATTTTGTCATGTTTCATTGGTTTGCTTGAGGCCTTCCCCACCTACGTTTCCATAGAGGGGTGATGGGGGTGGGGAGCTGTTTGGGAGGTATGGGGTTTGAGAAGCATCCCTGAAGGCTGGCAGCACCACAGGCCTAGAATCCTGGCTAACTGGACATCCAGTTAGCCCCAGGCCTCCGTTTCCTCATCTGTATAACGAGGCCAGTGGGATGAAACCACTTGCGTCTCTGGCAGTTCCCAAAGCCCTAGAATTATTAGTCTCCCAGAGCCCTGGTCTACAGGTCCACGGGCAGTGCTCCCCTCCCCCACACAAGCACCTGCTCCACCAGCAGGCCAAGGAGCCCACTAGGGCCGGTGTGGACTCTGAGCCGCGCCTTCTGCACCCTCCCCACCGCCTGGGCCACACTGCCCTGCCTGTACGTATTCACTCCCTCCACTGGTTCCTTCTCCCCTCCAACCCTGGCCAGGCCTCCCCCAGGGCTGGAGAACCTTCCCTCTGCCCCACACTGGCCACACTCCCTAAACTGACCAGGTGTTGGGGGTCTAGCCCATCTAGCAGAAAAACTGTTAACTCAGGCCCTGTTCTTTCTGCCCCCACCCAGGGTGAGTCCTCAGATTTTCTGAAGGGAAAGCTGAAGTCTGGACACATTTTTACCCGAAATCACCTGATTTTTTTAATCCTGGTGTTTTAAAAACCACGGGGCAAACCAGGCAGATTCCAGCCAGGGGGTCTCAAGGGCCGGAAGCTCGCCCGTCCATTCTGATAGACTGATCCACTTTCTGAAGGGGCTGCACGGTGACCGACCAGCCTTTATTTCTTGAAACTCTCTCTTCCTTAGCTTCCGTGACACCTGCCACACCTGGTTTCCTCCTCCCTCTCTGACCGTTCTTCCTCTGTCTCCAGTGGAGCACCCCTCCCTTTTCTACCATTTCCACATCCTCCTTTTCCCTGCGCGATGACCCTAGGGAAGACACCCCTGACCCAGCCTGCTCCAGATTCACATTTCCAGCAACCTTCTCTCCCGGAATGGCTGGGCAAATTTCAGTCTGAGGATGTCCCTGCGGCCCATGCCGGGGTTCCACCAGGGGCGTCACCCTCTGCTCTTGCTCTGACCTTGAGAGCCCCAAGCTCGAGCCTCTCTAGGCCAGGCACCTGGCTACCCCCCTCCACCTGATTTCCTTGGGCCGGCTCTCTTTCCGGTGTCCCTGTTCCTGCCCCATCTCCATGTACCCTGGGCCACCGGGTAGGGCCGCCATGCCCACCTCCCCCGGCGTGCCCTCTGCTCATTCTTGGATGGCTCCTGTTCCTGGACAGACACTCCTCAGGGGGCCGCAGCAGCTCCGTCTTCCTGCTTCTCGGTCACTGCACTGCATCCTCCAAGCAGCCCAGCCTGCACACACTTTGCATTTCCAGAACCTGTGGTTTTTGTGCTCAAGTCACGTGCAGTTTCTGCAAGACCTTTGCAAGACCACCCCAGCAAGACCTTTCTGCTCCCCAGGGCCGCCCCCAGGGCTCAGCTCTGTGGCACTTTCAGAAGCCCCTCTCAGTCAGGAAATTCCTGGGGGTCTTTTCTCACTTTGGCTGAGGTCTCAGGCCCCAAGGTTTTCCTGGCCCTTGACAGACAGTCCACTCAGGGGGCTCCTCATTCCTGCAAGAGGGGCTTGGCCTTCTTTGCGGGGACCTGTGATTATCTCCCCTCCCCTATGGGCCATACTCACTGCCCTGGGAGTGAAGCCCTTCCTGGCTCCCAGCGACTGACACCCCCCGCCCCCCTCAAAACCACTCCCCGTCTCACCTTTTCCTTGCTTCAATTTCTTCCTCTCCTGGACCTTATTCACTAGCTTGTCAGAGGGCAAACGGGGTCTGTGCTTGGGGGTGCGCGCCAACAAGAGGGGACTCTTGGGGCAGAAGGCCCAGAACACCCCCACCCTGCTTTTCCGGACTTGAGGGCCTCCAGCTCTCTCCACCCTGAAACCCCAATTTTCTACGTCCCGTCCCACCCACCCACCCCTCCATGCTCAGGCCTAAAATCACTTAACCCAAAGGGATCAGCTCTCCTCTCTGGGTGTCTCCCCATGGTCTCAGCTTCCCCAAGCAGAGGCTTCTTTGGCTTCAAGAAAGATCGTCCGGCGCCGCCTCCGCACCCGCGACACTGGACCCCTCCCAGCTCAGGGCCGCCAGACTTGCACGAGCCTCTGCGGAGGACTTCGCCTGTACCAGGAGAAAGGAGCCGGGCGAGCGGTCTCCAGGACCCGCTCTCAATCGCACTCTCCCGACGAGAATGGGAGGGGTGTGGCCGGAGCAACTCCCCTCCCCCATCCTGTCCGAGAACTCCTCCGGGGGTCGCACCCCGACATTTCGGTCAACCTGCTCCACCGTGGAGCCGACAGTTGGCTTTGGGGGGGGCGGGGGGAACCGTGGCGGCTACTCGCGCACCACAAAATGGGGCACTTGGAGCATCAGCGCCAGTGGGGGTGGGGGGCTAAGAAATGTCCTCAGAGAGACACCTGCGGTCGTCCCCCACGTCCTCCCGGGCGGTGCCCGGGCCCCTTAGGCCTAACAAGACCCCGGGCGCACAGCTGGAGGGCGCCTCCAGCCGCCGTCCCCTCGGACTCGGGTGGAGACCCCCCTCGAAGATGTCCTAGCACACTTCACATTGCCCCAGCCGACCACGTGAGGGCGTGCCCTGTGTTAGTTCGGACAAATTAAAGCTCGTCCTGCGGGCAGGCCTGGGGCCTCCTGGACGCGCTCGGGGCTTAGGTGGCCGCGGCGCACTCTTGGCTGCCGGCCGCAAAGCTCCGCGCCGCGCGGCCTCCCCCGGGGCCCGCGCTATTCGCCTCCAAACCGGGTGCCCCCCTCCACTCGCGCTCCCGCAGCCTAGGGTGCACCCCTCCGTTCCCCTTTGTCGAGCCCTTCCCGGGCGCAGGCCGCTTCTCCGCTGCGCCGCAGGCTCGGGCCCTGTCCGGGGCGCTCGGCGGTGGGCTCGGTGGCGCCCGGGAGGCGCTGCCCGGGAAGCCAGAGGCCGAGGAAGGGGCTCCAAGAAGCACAAGTTGGCGCTGGCTCCAGACCAGGCTGTTGTTGTTCTCAACGTGGTCCGCCACGGAGCTATAAAGGCGGAGCGGAGCGCCCTCCTCACCAGAGCGCAGCGCGCACGCCCAGCGAGCTCCGGAGGCAACGGTGGTAGCGGCAGCAGCGGCGCTCCCTCGGCCGATTTCCTCGCTCCTGCAGGGTCCCGGCTCCGGCCCCCTCCGCCCCGGCCCCTCCGCTCCGGCTCCGGCCCCGGCCCCGGCCCAGGACCCCCGATCCGGCCGGCCCGGCCCCCACCCCAGCCCTGC